AAAGGAATGTCCGGGAGGGGCTTATTGCTTAACATTCACACACTGCCAGCAGAAGAAGCCAGTTATTTTAATTAACATGGTTATTATGGGATAAACAAAAACTAAGCTTAACAAAGTTCTAAGTACAAACACTGCAAACGCTTCGTAACTTTACAGACACAGCCACCACCAGGCGCCCTACATATGCCTAGTCCTACGGGGTAGGGATTTATAAAATACAGTGAACGTGAGGTAGGAATTCATAAAGTCTCTCAAGCAAGACCCCGTATCTACACACAAAAAAAGTTAAACATTAGCTGGGTGTGGTAGCACATGCCTGAAGTCCCAGCTACTCAGGAGCCTGAGGTGGGAGGATTACTTGAGCCCAATAAGCTATGATTGTACCACTGCACTTTAGCCTGAGTGACAGAGCAAGACCCTGTCTCAAAAAATAAATAAAAATAAGGAGGCAGTGTTAGGCTAAACTTAATTTAACAGGTCCATCAGCACAACTTTGCTAAGCACCTACTGTGTACATAGTACACAGGACTAGGTCCAGGGGGGGTCAGGGCCAAGCCCAAAGGTTCAGGGCCAGGCCTGGGGCATCCAGGTAAGGAGAGAATTCCATCAGCTCCTCAAGCTACTGACAGACCAGCTGGGAAGACAGTTCGCCATGGAATCCCATCCCCCCATTCCTTCAATACAAAGAAAACTCAGAAGACAAGACCAGGGTGGGCTGGGAGCCAGGAGGCTTCGTGGGCAAGGCTGAACATCAGTTGAGCTAGGCCTTGACAACGGATGGACTCTGGGAGATCAGAGGATATTCTGTCCAGGGGCAGGGGCGTGAGTACAGGCCCAGAGGTAAGAATGATGGGGTGTGAGAAGCAAGGAGTGGGGAGACCCCTCCACCTCCACGTGGTAGGGGTCCTGGGAGCTGGGTACAGGGCCTTGGCCTTGGTGCCACAGGCTGTGAGTAGCCTCTGGGCTCCTGAGCAGAGGAGTGAGGGTGTGTGTGTGTGTGTGTGTGTGTGTGAAATTTGACTCCACCCCTCCACCTCCCATCCACCCTCCACCTCCCCCCCCCAGTGGTAGGAGAAAGGTCAAGATGAAAGGGCCAGAGGCCTAAAGCAGGGCTTCTCTGGGCAACATCTAAACCAGAAGCGCGGGTCCCCTTCAGCCCACGTGCACACCCAGGATTGGCTGCCGGGGCCCTGCAGGAGCTGCATGAGCTATGCTAGCCAAGTTTTCCAGGAGAATCCTTCACTAGTTCATGGAAAATGCTCCATCCACGTGTTAAGGAAACAGTTCAGTGAAACCATGAGGGCGGAGACATCCAAATAGCCAATGCTCAGTTTGCCAAAACCTTCCCTGACTCCCAAGGATAGACTTCGGAGAAAAGAAGCAGGCCTAGTCACACCCCAGCCAATGCAGAGAACTTATAAAGGGCCGAATAAGGAAACAAACGACAAAGGGTATGAGACATTGATGAACATAGAGGTGTAGCTTCAAGATATTTTTTTTTTTTGAGTCACCCAGGCTGGAGTGCAGGGGCACAACCACGGCCACAGCAGCCTCCAACTCCCACCTATACCTTCTGATTAGCTGGGACTACCGGTGCACACCACCATGCCTGGCTAATTTTTTAAAATTTTTGTAAAAACAAGGTCTTGTAAGCCGGGCTCAGTGGCTCAGCCTATAATTCCGTACCTTTGGGAGGCTGAGGTGAGTGGATTGCCTGAGCCCGTGGGTTTGAGACCCGCCTGGGCAACGAGACCTCATCTCTACAATAAATCAAAAAATCAGCCGGGCGTGGTATCGCCTGCCTGTAATTCCGGCTACTCAGAAGGCTGAGGCGGAAGGATCGCCAGAGCCCAGCAGGTCGAGGCTGCGGTGGCCGGGAGCGGCCGCTGCACTCCAGTCTGGGCGACAGAGTGAGACTCCAACTCAAAAAAAAACAACAAAAAAAAACAAGGTCTTGTTATGTTGCCTGGGGTGGTCTCGAACTGCTGGACTCAAGCAATTCACCCACCTCGGCCTCACAAATTTCTGGGGCTACAGGCATGAGCCACTGTGCCCAGCCTCAGACATGCTCATGACTTTGAAATCTATCATAAAGGCTAAATATCATAATTTGCATATGTTACTATTTGAAGGAAATAAAAAATAACGTGTGTGTGTTCCCTCGGGGCAACCTGTAGCGTCATTTTGCCAGCAGGAAGGGCGGGAGACCCTTGTAGTGACAGAGGAGGGAGGACTGTCTGACAGGAAGAGCCACAGGTGCTCCATGCCGCACCTGGAGGGTCTCTGCTTCTTCCCGGCCAGGCCCTGGGGCTCTGCGCTGTCCCCAAGGCCTGCCCCGGCACATTCTCTGCCCAGAGTGGGACCCTTCCTGAAGCCCCCCCCCATGGCTCCCCCCACGCAGGCTCCCCGAATTCACGGAGGGCGAGAAGAGGAGGATCAATGGCACCTATGACTACTTCGGGTTCAACCACTACACCACCGTCCTGGCCTACAACCTCGACTACGCCCCTGCCATCTCTTCCTTTGATGCAGACAGGTGAGTCTGCCTGCGGGGCGCCCTCTCACCCCGAGGCCCGCTCAGCCTCCCCACGGGGCTCCTGACCCGCGTGTGCTGGGCGCCGGCCCTGGAGTCCCCGCGGGAAGTCGTGGTTCCCAGGCCTGGCGCGCTTGGCTTTGGAAAAGCGTTTTCAGAAAAATTTTTTCTTTCCTTGGTTTTCTTTTTCTTTTTCTTTCTTTTTTTGTGCCAAATTTGTTTCACCTCTCAGATATATTTTGGTCAAAATTACATTATGGCCTTTTTTTTTTTGAGTTGGGGTCTCACTCTGTCACCCAGGCTGGAGTGCATTGGCACGCTCACGGCCACTGCAGCCTCGACCTGCTGGACTCAGGCAATCCTCTCGCCTCAGCCTTCCAATTAGCTGGAATTACAGACACATGCCACCATGCCCAGCTAATTTTTATGATCACAGGCTTGAGCCACTGGGCCTGGCCCGAGGGGCTTGTTTTCAAAGAACCTGGAAAAATTTGGAGCTACTGATGTGGAGACGATTGTTAGGAAAAAAAGAATAAAATAAGATGGGTGAGGTGGCCATGCTTGTAATCCCAGCACTTTGGGAGTCAGAGGCAAGAGGATTGCCTGAGTCTGGGGGCTCGAGACCAGCCTGGACAACGTGGCGAGACCTTGTATTTACAATAAATCAAAAAATTAGCTGGGTGTGGCGCACGTCTGTAGTCCCAGCTCCTTGGAAGGCTGAGGCGGAAGGATCGCCAGAGCCCAGCAGGTCGAGGCTGCGGTGGCCGGGAGCGGCCGCTGCACTCCAGTCTGGGCGACAGAGTGAGACTCCACCTCAAAAAAAAGAAAGAAAAAGAACAAAACAATGTATATACATATATGTATATACACAATACACTAAATTCTGAAATGACACATGAATTCTCTAATCTTTTCCCAATGTTTCCACCATAAATATAAATTACTTGTGCAATAGAGAAATAATAGTTTGATCTTTTTCTTAAAAAGGAAACAAAGGCCCGGCACGGGGCTCAGCCTGTAGCCCCAGCACTTTGGGAGGCTGAGGCGAGAGAATTGCCTGAACCTGGGGGTTCAAGACCTGCCTGGGCAGTTTGGTGAGACTTCGTCTCTTTGGGGAAAAAAAAAAAAAGAAGTTAAGAAAAAAAACTGAACATTTTTTTTTTCTGAAGGATTTGGGTATAAGAAGTGTCTTCTTGGTCCTTATCTGACGTGTGTAATTCCTGAGAAGGTCAGGCTTCTATGACCTCCCCCTGCCGGTGCCCCTGTGGCAGGAGCTATCCCCTCTGCTTGTCCATCACCGGAGAGAGAAGCCAGGCTCTGGGACACTTGGAACAGTCCCTAGCCTGTCTGCCCCCGTCATCACACAAAGGAGGGCCCCAAGTATGGCTGCCTATGGCACCCCTGTGGCCTGCGTGATGCGTTGACTAGACTCAGGGAGCCTGTTTTCTCACAAGACGTAGCACTGGCATCCCCTGGAAGCCTGGAGCTGGGTCACCCTGAGCCCTTCGCATCTGGTGTGAGGGGAGGGGCCATCTGTCAACAGACAGTCGTGGAGGGTTGGGTTCCATGAGCAGCACCACGTCCTGCACAGGCAGGTTGGAACTCGAACAGAGGAGGGCTTCCGGGGTCTTGTCTGAAGCTACATCTGCATTGAGTAGGGACAAGAACACGGGTGACTACACCCTGGACTTTATTCGAAAACAAGAAGATTCCAGTCAGCGCTTAGCCCTGGCCCTGCCCTCACCCATGCCCTGGAAGGGCTTTTCTTCTCTCACAGGGAAGAGATTTCTTCCTGCCCCTGGGACTAGGGGGAAGGTTTTTCCTCATTCTAAGTGAAGAGAGGAGAAACTGAGGCCATTTGCTGCTTCTGGGTTTACTGTGACCGTGAAGTCTAGACAACACATGAGGCTTTTCCTGGTGTGAATCCTGCTTTGTGTTTCGGGTCAAAGGCCGCTTGGAATTCACAAGACGAGACCTGACCTTTAGTCTGTGAACTCGCAGGGGAGTCGCCTCCTTCACGGACCGCTCTTGGCCCGACTCTGGCTCCTTCTGGCTGAAGATGACACCTTTTGGCTTCAGGAGGATCCTGAACTGGCTGAAGGAGGAGTACAACAACCCTCCGATCTATGTGACAGAGAACGGGGTGTCCCAGCGGCGAGAAACAGACCTCAACGACACCGCAAGGATCTACTACCTTCGCAGTTACATCAACGAGGCCCTCAAAGGTAGGACAGGCCCCCATTTCCTCAGTGTGTGGCGGCCACTGTTGGAAACAGGAGGGTACCATGCGTCCCCGAGTGCCAGTAAGAAGAGAAAGAGAAGGCTTCTCACTCCTGTTGGGTTTAAGCCTCTTCAGGGCTGTGCTCTGAATTTGTCCTTCCTAGAACTAAGCTCGGCAAACCCAATGACCGGACACGGCTAGACCTTAGTGCCAGCCTGAGTCACCTGCGCCCCTTGATGCTCCCTGAGGTCCGATGTCTCTGTCCAGCAGTGCCCTTCTGAGGACAGACGGGCCAGGGGCCGGGAGAAATAGGCTGGGGGGTTGTCCAGAGGGTCTTTTCTTCCCCAAACAAAAGTTTGAGACCTTCAGTTCAGTCCGAACGCCTTGGGGTGGGACTCTGAGGATAAGAGAACAGAAAGCTATGAGGAAAAGAACCGGCCAAAGGAAATGATTAGCAAATCCCATCCCAGCCAAAATCTTTTCCACCTGAGGGCTACTTACTTTCTATAGGGAGGAGCTTTAGCATTCTAAGACCAATATCCTGGGATGTACAGAGAAGAGTGTAGATGCCTCGGTGGGATTAGCTTAGTTTACTCGTGTTCCCGACTTCCAGTCAGAGCTGAGCCTTTCTAAAAAGCTCCATCTGGCCAGGCTTGGTGGCTCAGCCTGTTATCCCAGCTCTTTGAGAAGCCAAGGCGAGGGATTACCTGAGCCCATGGGTTCGAGACCAACCCGGGCAACTGGGCGAGACCTCATCTCTACAATAAATAAGTAAAAAATTAGCCAGGCGTGTGGTAGCGCGTGACTGTATTTCTAGCTACTTGGAAGGCTGAGGCGGAAGGATCGCCCGAGCCCAGCAGATTGATGCTGGGGTGGCTGTGAGCAGGCTACTGCACTCCAGCCTGGGCAATGGAGTGAGACTCCAACTCAGAAAAAAAAAGAAAAAAGCCCCGTCCTCAGAGGACCCGCCAACACTCTCTCAAAGACTAAAGCCAAAACCCACCTTGACCTGCGCTGTGGGCTTCCAAAGGCCTGACAGGAGGTGTCTCAGGAGGCGAGGAAAACTCACACCCAGGCCTCTGTGTTTGGGCAGCTGTGCAGGATAAGGTGGACCTTCGAGGATACACGGTTTGGAGTGCGATGGATAACTTCGAGTGGGCCACGGGCTTCTCGGAGAGATTTGGTCTGCATTTTGTGAACTACACTGACCCTTCTCTGCCAAGGATCCCCAAAGCATCAGCCAAGTTCTACGCCTCTGTGGCCCGGTGCAATGGCTTCCCTGACCCCGCTGCAGGGCCGCACCCTTGTCTCCAGCAGCCAGAAGGTGAGATGCGAGTGGGGAAAGGACGGAAGCCAAAGGGCGAGGGGTGGGAGGAAAGGCCTCTTTCCGAATGCTTCCTTCTAGTTTATCCTCCTCCGCTCTGCCCTTGCATCCCCCTTCATTCATTCATTCAGTCTTCATTGTCTTTGAATGCTCCTGACATTCTTGGATGGAACAAAAAACACGTGAATGTCACCCCTGGTCTGGAAATGAGCAGATCTAGATTTCCAGCCCTACCACTAACTTGCTGTGCAGCCTTAGCCAAGAAACTAGGCAAAGGCTTCTGGGCAGTTACAAGGAGCAGATAAAGACTGAAAGTTGAGTGCCTACACAATGTGGGTGCCTCATATTTGTTGAATGACTGAGAGTGTAAATTATTATAGAAATGTAAATGACAGTTATCCAGTTTAGATTGGATAGGTCTAGCACCCTAATCCAAAACTCCAAAATCCAAAATGTTCCAAAATCTGAGACACTGAGCGCCAACATGTCGCCCCAAATGGAAGATTCCACCCCTCTCGCGTGAGGGGCCATCGTCAAAATTTTGTTTCATGCACAAAATTATTAAAACTATTGTATAAAATTGCCCTCAGGTTTTGTGGATCAGGTGCATAGGAAACATAAATGAATTTCCTGTTTAGACTTGGGCTCCATCCCCAAGAGATCTGATTATGTATATACAGAGATTCCAAGATCTGAAAAAATCCCAAACCTGAGACACATCTGGTCCCAAGCATGTCAGATAGGAGCTATTCAATCTGTATTCTAACTGCCAATAGAGATGTGTAGGAAATAAAACTGCTGAACCTCACGCAGAGGTGAACCTCACACATGAAAGGGGGTGGGCACCTTAACCCCGGCAATGCACTCCCCTTGGCTGTGCAGGTTTGGGGTGCCGCGAAGCCTCTGGCCTCCAGGGATCCAGCTTGGGCCTGATCTGGGGTCGTGTAGAATCTCGTAACTCCATCAGCTGGAGAGCACCACCCACCTCTGCTGTCCCCTCCTAGGTGCTGGCCCCACCGTCGGCCCCGTGCAAAAGGAGGAGGTTCAGTTCCTGGGGCTGATCCTCGACATGGCGGCAGCTCAGACAGCTTTGTACGTCCTCTTTTCTCTTGTGCTTCTTGGAGTCTGTGGGCTGGTATTTCTGGCATACAAGTACTGCAAGCGCTCCAAAGAAGGGGAAACCCAGCCAAGCCAGCAGGAATTGAGCCGAATGTCTTCATTCTGACAAGCTACCGCTTCCTCCAGTTCTGCAAGCAGGCCGTTCCTTTACCGCCACAAAACTCCTTAGGGTCTTGATTCTGCACACAATGGACTTCTCGCAAAAGCTCTGCTGCACTGTTAGAGATGACTTTACTCTTGGAGGATTTCAAGTTCCTGATTAAAATGGAAATATCTGCATCTTGTCTCAGTATCAGAGTTCATTTGGGCATCTGAGGAGGAGCCTGCAGGTGACTCTTACTGAAATGCAGATACCAAACTAGTCTAATGGGCCTGAGAACCATTTAATTCAACTTAACTGGGCTGTTTGTTTAAGTTTCAGAGTTGTTAAAGGTGGGATTGTAAATCACAATTATGTAAAATTATGTAAAATCACATAAATCCTTTCTGTAACAAGTTATAGATAGAGTACAATATCATCTCCTGCCCCTCTCCAAGCTCCCCACAGCCTCGCACCTTGTGTTTCTCAGAAAATAAAAACAGCGCTGGGACTGTCCTATCTCCTATGGTTGCTTCTCTTTGAGAGAGTAGTTTTAACAGAAGTCATGAAAGAGAACCTGGACATAGAACAAACTAAACATGGGAATAGATGTCTGTCTAGTGTCAAATCACAGGCAAAGATGATCCTGTGACAGTGGTGGGTCAGGTTAGTTCTTCAGGATGTTAGCCACAGGTAGAGGAGGGAGCCAGAGTATTTCCTTGGATGCTAGATTTAAACATAAAAAAAGGAAACTATGGCAATTCTATGATACAAAAAAATTAATTTTTGAAGTGTGAAAGGTAATTATGAGCAAGAATCAAGATCCAGAGGCCATAAAGACACTGATAATTGGCTGGGTACGGTGGCTCATGCCTGTAATCCCAGCACGAGAAGCAGAGGTGAGAGAATTGCCTGAGCCCAGGGGTTCGAGACCAGCCTGGGCAACTTGGCGAGATCTCATCTCTACAATACATCAAAACATTAGCTGGGCGTGGTGGCACGTGCCTGTAGTTCCAGCTACTTGGAAGGCTGAGGCAGGAGGATCGCCTGAGCCCAGCAGGTTGAGGCTGTGGTGGCCGTGAACATGCCACTGCATTCCAGCCTGGGAGACAGAGAGAGACTCCAAATCAAAAACAAAACAAAACAAAACTGATAATATTGTGGCAAAAAATAACCAAATGTACTCTTCAAAAGAAAGAAAATATTTACAGTGCTTGCTAGCAAAGAGCTATTTTTCTTAATGTCATGAAATTATAAATCAGGAAGAATATGAAAATAAAAATTGGCAAATACAAACCTGCAGTTCTTAAAGTAAGTCAAAATTACTAGTAACATTAAAAGATGTTCAAGTTCATTTGTGATCAACATAATAAATGCGTATAATTTTTCATATATCAGGTTGACAAAGGTGAGATAGTATGATATTTCAGTCTTGGCAAGGGTGTGGGGGTTCAAATTCACACAGCTTTGAGGAGGCAACTTGACAGCATCTTGCAGAATGCAAACTGCAAACCCTCTTTGACTCAGCAAGTTCTACAAACATATCCTAGGTATATTTTCACAATAAGACTATACCTCCCACCCAATGTTGTTTACTGTAGTAATGTTTGTAATAGAAAAACAAAAATAAAAAACTTGTAATAACCACTGAATGCCACCAGAGCATGGATGATAAGTTGGGGAACATTCACCAAGTAGAATACTATGCAGTCATTAATAAGAATGAGGTAGCTATGTGTTGACAGGGAAAGATCTTCAAGACTATGTAGTTAAAAAAGCAAGATGCAGGGTAGTGTATATAATATGATCCCATTTATTTAAAAAATAAAGATTACATATTTGCTTATATATGCATACAAATTTTCTGAAAATTACATAAGAAACTGTCAATAGATTACCTCTGGAGAATAGTACTGGGGTAAAATGTAAGGAGAGAGATTTCACTTTCATTTTATATAGCCTTATATATGGTTTTGAGGGTTTTTAACCATGTGTACTTTTTTTAAATATAAAATTGAGGAATCCTCCTACCCAGAATTATGAAGCATTCTTCAATGTATATTTCTCTAAGATTTATATTAGATATTTTTCAAGGCAAACTGACTTGAGGTACTTGATGTTTTTCCAAATGTATTTCTAATAGTTATTAGTAGGGTCATACCCATTTGACAGGCTTTTTTTCTTAAAGTCATATATTGCTGTATTTTTGAAGATGACAAGCCTTTACTTAAATGGGATGCTTGCTGGATATTTTCTTTTTCAAATACACGTTTTATGTTGCGGAAATAATATGCTCACTGCAGCAAACTTGGAAAACATAAGGGTGCAAAAATCCACTAAAATCACATATATAACCACTCTTACCATTATTAACATTTTGGTGGGTTTCTTTTGTCTTTACACATGTATTAATACCTAGTACTATCCGTACAGGAAATGTGTTTGCAGGGCGGAGGTCACACTGGACCTGCAGCTCTGAGTCCTGCTTCCTTTCCCCAACGCATAACAGGGGCTCAACAGGCAAATGTTAAACTGAGTCGCTAACTAATATTGTACCTTTTTTCATCAAAAATTAATTACTTCCACAGAAGGCATTTAGTTGGTTTCCAGTTCTTGAGTAAAATAAATAACACTTAATGAGTAACGCTTATAGCTAGACGTCTGCATTTATGGTTTAGAAAAAGCTATTGGATCAGAGTATGAATATTTAGTTTCTGATCAATGTTTTTCAGAAATATTATACTGGTTTTCCCTTCCTTCCAACAGCGAAGACTGACTCACTGTTTCCTTGCCAACACTATTCCCATTTTTAAAAGTCATTGATATTTTATAGGTGAACAACAGAAAATTTGCTCTGAGAAAACTTCTTCCTTTCATTACAAAACAAAGTCAAGAGTCTTTCCATATTTTCACATAAGAGTGCTATCTTCAATCGAAAACAGAAGAACTGTTTTCAAACATCATTAGTTTAGTGGTGTCTACTACCAAAAACATATGGATAAAATAACATGTAAGTCAGATTAAGAATCTCTTTCAAATTCTTTTTTTTTTTTTTTTTGGAATCGGAGTCTCTGTCACCCAGGCTGCAGTGCAGTGGCGCAATCACAGTGACCGCAGCCTCAACCTGCTGTGATCAGGTGATCCTTCCACCTCAGTCTTCCAAGTAGCAGGAACTACAGATGTGCACCACCACACCTGACTAATTTTTGATTTATTATAGAGGCCAGGCCTCGCCAAGTCGCCCAGGCTGGTCTCGAACCCCTGGGCTCAGGCAATCCTTTTGCCTCAGACTCCCAAAGTGCTGGGATTACAGGTATGAGCACCACACCCAGACCAAATTCTTAAGAATAACCAAATGACTGAAGGTATGTCTATATTCCATACTTCTTGTCCTCCAGATACTTTAGGTCCTTGAAGTGTGATTACTGAGGACAAAACTTCAGTATAAATGTGAGAGAAGACTAGATTGTGGACTAGCAGTTTTTTTAAACATCTGATGAGAACAAAAACTTTAACAAACCATAACTTAACAAACCATAACTTAATGCAAACAAAGTAATGCCTCACTGACTCAGGAAAGTCAGTAACATGGGAGTAATGTGTCAGAAAATTTCTTTCTTCAGTGATATTTAAGGTAAGATGGCCAGCTACTTTCCTGAAATAGCTCCAGGGCAGTACTGGGGGGAAAAAAATCAGAGACATGAGACTTCAACAGAGCCCTGCGCAACAAAAAGATGCTAGGATAACAAAACTTAAAGCAAAAATAAGATCATTCCGAAAAGATTGGAAAAGATTTTTTTATTCAGTGTTTAAGTGAGATTAAAAACTACAAGATTCTGCTTGCAGCTGATGGGCAAAAAGAGAAAAGTGAAACATAAATTATCATTTGAGTGGCTAGTTAAAATGCTCTGACCCAGAGTCAAATTACTCAGTGACATACGAGTTACTTTGTGTGGGCTTACAAGTTTTAGAGCAAAACAGCTCTAAACAAAAGTGCTGTCTGAGAGCATAGGGCAACAGGCAGAGGGAATACTGAACATAAGAAGCTGAGGGCAGCAGGCTGTGGCAGACCTTTTGCTTCTTTTAGGCTTCTAGCAGGGGTTACCATATGCGAGGACCTAGCAGCCAATTATTTTATGTCTTGACTTTTCTGAGTTAAACAACTTTAACCCACACCCACTAAGCAGGAATAAAAAGACACTTTATAGATCAGCTGGAAAACATAAAGCACTCCCACTCCTCCAGTAAAATTTTAGTTGAATTAAGTCATAAGAGAAACAATGATTATTGCACATATTGGACTTGTCGCTCTACATCTGCTGAGTAGAGTTTCCATTCCAAGTGTTGTTTTCATCTTCACCATCATCTTGAGTCCTCAATCTATATATCTTCCCCTCCTTTTTAAAGTCTTCCCCACGTTTTTCCAGCACTCTTTTTCTGACTGGTTTCCTGACATAGGAAAAGAGGGAGAAAAGGGAAGATGACACAAAATAAAAAGAAGAGTAATACAAAGCTGTTTCATACTTCCATTAGAATAGGCAACTATACCTTTAATGCCATCTCAAGCAAGGAAGGTCTACATGAGATAATCATACCTACTAATGCAGTACTAGATTTTATTAGTCTTAGGTAGTTTAATTTCATCTGTTTTCTTTTTCTTTTTCTTTTTCTTGAGTTGGAGACTCACTCTGTCACCCAGACTGGAGTGCAGTGACCGCTCCTGGCCACTGCAGTCTCAGCCTGCTGGGCTCCAGCGATTCTTCCGCCTCAGCCTTCCAAGTAGCTGGAACTACAGGTGCATGCTACCACGCCCAGCTAATTTTGATTTATTGTAGAGATGAGGGCTTGCCAAGTTGCCCAGGCGGGTCTCGAACCCACGGGCTCAGGCAATCTACTCACCTCAGCCTCCCAAAGCACGGGATTACAGGCTGAGCCACCAAGCCTGGCTAACTTCATCTGTTTTCTAAGCCAAACTAGCCAAGTCACATTTTCCATTTCCATGTGTTTCTTAAAGACTTAATACTAAGCTTTAGAAGAGCATGACCAATTGCCAACTAATGTATTCTTTATTATTTATGTAAGCTGATATATCTACTATAACATTTATAACTTACACAGTACCCTAGAGACTATCCAAAGCTCTAGTCACAGTCCAACTGACAGAAACGGTCAATTTGTAATTTTTAATACTCTCAAAATCTTTAAGAATAACTTTTTAAATAAACAAGAACAAAGAAGTCCAGCTAGGCAACATAGCAAGACCTTATCTCTACAAAAAAATCAAAAACTTAGCCAGGCATGTACATGCCTGTAGTCCCAGTTACTTGGGATGTTGAGGCAGAAGGATAGCCTAAGCCCAGAAGGTCAAGGATGTGGTGTGCCATGACTGTGCCACTGAACTCCAGCCCAGGCAACAGAGTGAGACCCTGACTCAAAAACCAAACAAAAACAAAGAAGACTTCCTCATCTAAAAATAGAAAGGAAATAAGGGTGAAATTTAAGCTAACAGAATTTTATAACACTAGAGGGGAGAGAGAAAGAAAAGAAGAAAAATAATAGTAAACCACCAAGCTTTAACCTCTTAGACACATATTTATCTCATCCTTTGCTCCAACCCAAGATCTTTTTTCTTATTTGAAAAAAGTTTCCTAAAACCCACACAAAAAGCGATCCTAGATTACAGTAATTCAGGATTAAATGTTTCTCCACTGCTCAGTAAAAATTGTACAATTCAGTACTAATTCAGTACTAACAGGGCATAGTTTTTTTTTTTCCTTGAAACTTTACTGGCTTTAAGTTATTTACAGTTACAAATGTAGTTCTATGAATAATTATATAGTAAAATAGCTATTTCCATGGAATTGACTCATCAACTTAGAAAGGCAGCTGATTGAAATTTCATTTTTAAAGCAAATTAATCAATAAAATATACCACGACCATAATCCTATGAATGTTAATTATAAGCAAGAATATAAGAATTAAGAGAAAGTAATTCTTACATTTACCTTTAAGAGCAGTAATACATTTTGTTGTATTTTTTTATACAAGGCATAGTTTGAGTGCTGATCTAAGACTAGAGAGAATTTCCCTGTGTCCTCACTTGAGTAATGTACTAAGAAGGTAATTGGTCTTCCTGCCTAATAGTTAAGAAATAAATCCAGACCAGGTGCAGTAGCTCACACCTGTAATTCTAGCCCTTTGGGAGGTGGAGGCAAGAGGATTGCCTGAACCCAGGGGTTTGAGACCAGTCTGAGCAACTTGACAAGAACTTGTTTCTACAATAAATAAAAAAAATTAGCCAGGCATGGTGGCACACACCTGGGGTTCCAGCTACTTAGAAGGCTGGGGTAGAAAGATCACCTAAGCCCAAAAGGTCGAGGCTGCGGTAGCCGTGAGCATGCCACTGCACTCTAGCCTAGGCATCAGAAAGAGACTCTAATTCAAAAAGAAAAAAAAAAAGAAATCCAGATTAAGGCTAACTAAGACCAATCACAATATTTATATAATTTACATCTACAGAATCAGTAAACACAGGACTGGAGTATCCATACGAGCACTGACAGAGGTAAGGATTTTCATTATCACATAGCATTGGTGTGAGGATTTGCTATAGTGCCTATTAAAGGCCTAATAAAGTGTTTAACAGAAGTATATATTATAATAAATTGTGCTATTATTTTTAGCCAGGAGCATAAGCTCACCTTCTAGGAAAATACTTCCTGTTAACCTGTTTCAAATATGCACAATCTTAACAAACAGAGGTGTGAGCTCAATTTGTCTATTACCATCCTAACCTTTGCTATCTGCTATAAAAGTTGTGCCACTTGGTTAAGGGATTAGTCCAAGACAACTCTCTGAAGAAGGCATCATTTTCAAGGGAATAACTAATTTCCTCAATTTGGTCCTTCTCTGAATGACCCAGCTAAGACTATCGGTAGTAGATTGAAGAACCTACCAGGGTTGAAATGATCAAAGCAGGATTCCTCTACAGAAATTATGCAAGATGACCACAAGCAATTAACAAAATGAAATATCTTGTCAGGCAAAACATGGTTAGCAAGAAAGGTATGACATACATAGAAAAGAAAAAAAAATTTGCCTTGACAGTTACAGCATCAAGAAAATTCAATGAATGAAACAAAATCAGTGAAGGTAAAATTGTTTTCCAGCCAGGCTCGGTGGCTCAGCCTGTAATCTCACGCCTTTGGGAGGCTGAGGTGAGTGGATTGCCTGAGCCCGTGGGTTCAAGACCCGCCTGGC